GATGGTTCCGATTCTTTATTACAAATAGATTTAGAATTATAAAAATGCACCAAGGTGTAAATATGTATCGAACGGCGTTTTACGTTTCCGCATTTTGGCACTACGTTTCCGCATTAAAATTCCTACGTTTCCTCATTTTTATAGTCCTCTTTTCTGCATTGTTTTTACATTGATTTTGTTAAAGGTTATTTACGTTTCCGCATGTTAATTTTTTAATTTTTAATGTATGCCTCTTCCGTTTGCCAGGTAAACCTTTTGCCCCCTGCTCACCAACGGGGAGGTGGAAGTAGGACTTCGAGCAGGATAAGTCTTTATGATTAAAATGAAACTATTAACTTTAAATGATAAAACTCATACATGGTCATATATCAATTACAAGTCAATGTTCAGCACTAAAAGTTTATATATACAGATCATACATGGTCATATATCGATTAAAAGTCAATGTTCAGCAATAAAAGTTTATATATACAGATAAAACAGTATACGTCAGTATACTATTATACAGTACATGTAGCGCAGTTTACATATTTGTCAAAGCGGAAAACTTGTAGCCAACTGACTTTATGAAGTCTAACCTCGTAATCTCTTTTTTAAAGATCATTTGTTATCATATGTCTTAAATGTATATCTTAGAGCGCAAACGAACTTTAAGTAGAAATTTAGTTATAAGGTTCAAACAAAAAAAAAAGGAGACAAATAAGTTATATTTTTTTTCAGATGCAGAAGAAGTCCAAGAAGGCGATATTTTAAAATTCGCATTTTATGTAATGTGTTTTGACAGATTTCATATTCAAACACTACACATGTGGAAATAAGTGTGTCATATATCATTTTGTAGATAATTCAATGTAGATTTACGACATAACAAGTTGCAGTGGGATGACAACCACGGAATCGAAATATAACGAAAGTTCGACCAATTCGCGACCGATTGTCAGTTCTCATAAATGCGAGTTGGGTACCTTGTGGTATATTAAGGTATGTGCCTGTGGAGATATAGTATGATTGCCAAGAGAAAACTAGCCGTCTTATCGCAAAATTTAAACAATACATTGAAAGGAAATCAAAAGTAGAAAATAATATGTTATATTCATCTGAAAAAGTAGCCTGTACGAAAGGGGATCAACATCGAGTTTTCTATTGTCCATCATTCCGTGTAGCCGATTTTCTATGCAACTGTAAAAACGCCTTATAATTTAAAGATATGAGAAGTCATTCCAGAAGAAAACTGTAGTGCGCTAAAGCATCTTGACCATTCAATTTTTTTCTGATACAATATAGATTAATTGATCGATCTAATGTCGCATGAGAACAGACAAACGAATTCGAAGTCATTGATTATGTATGGCAATTAAAATCTGAATGTAGATTTAATTTACTTGTAGAAAATATATTAAAAAATAAGTGAAACAGCATTTCATAACTTTACTTACTTGATATTTCAATCGTTATAAATAAATAAATCCATGAAATCATTGTTATAATTTGTTCCTTTTCTTACTTAGACGGGAATTAAAATTTAGTATCTACAAAGGATAATAATATCTTGTCGCTTTATTTTTTCCGTCACCATATGATCATTTGATTCTATAAATTTTCTATTTAGTTTAGAGATTTTGAAGCAACTACCTCAGTATACAGATTTCAATTAACTACAAAATCAGTCAGAAAGAAGAACAACATTACTACAATCATAACATCAAAACTGTAGACAAAGAATGGAATACAATGTGCATTTGTCATCAATATGTTTTAGTGATTTCTCCGAAATGACAAAATAAATAAAGAAATTTAAGCTGAAAGGTTTATTTTACGCTACTTTAGTTTGTTCTTATATATTTATCGATTAATTCCATTGGTTTATTACTCGTGGACAAAACTTATTGATAATCATTTTAACTAATTTGTATCCGTTTCGATATCTATTATGTATATTCACAAAACCAACATATTTTTGTTGCCGCTAATCAGTTGATGGAAGGTTTAACATTTATTATCTATAGATAATTCTAACATAATGATTGGCATCTAGTATGCATTTCTATACCATTCAAAACTGTTTAAAATTAAACGGTCCATTTAAATTTATAGTTTGAGACTATGTTTTGTCGTCCGTCCCGAAGATTTCTTCAGAAAAAAAAATAATAGAATTAGCATATTTCTATTTTGAGTTAAAAATCTTGTTTTGTATGATATTCATATTAGAAAAGGTTCAACAAAATTTTTTTTTTATGTCTTTCAGTTAATTATTTTTTAAACCAGAAAACGTTATTTTACTATTTTTTTAATATCAGATATAAAACACTTCATCCCTGCAACTATTTTGATTTTTCAACTACCACCAGTCATAAAGTTGTATCAAGCATATAGCAACTATACTTTTAAAAATATACACGAAAGGGAAGAAATTATATCGCACAAAAGAGAAACATTTCGGACCAATAAATTACCTTCTTCAGTCAGAGATGTTTTTTTTATATTTTGTGTTTTTTTATACCCCCGTTCCATTGGAGGGCGCCACTGTGTATCCCTGTCAGTCAGATGTCACATGAAACTTCCGTCGCATTTTCTCATAGCTATAAGCCAGATCTCCCTTAAATTTGGTGACAAGTTTTCTGTGAACATAGTTACATCACCGTTTGACGCAGTTTCACATGCATCGCTCATCATGATCAATTTCTTGTTTTCCGTATACTTATATATTATTACACAAACTGGCCATGTTTTTCAGGAAATACATATCAGAGCTTTCTTAAGTATGATAGCAAGCTTCCTGTGAGCATGATTTACCATGAGATGTGTTTTCTCATTCTCCCCTAATCAACTTCCTGTTTACCGAATACTTATATAATCCTTCATATAATGGCCATGTATGAAATTTTGGAGTAAGGCCAATTTCCCCTGAATTTATTTCACACCAGAGCCATTTGAAAAAAAGTCTTTCAGGCTTAACTTGAATTCATAGTATAATAGCCCAATGAATGTGTGTACTTTAAGGTTCTTACGACTTTATGGCTTTATTTCTACACAGGTCACCAATTTATACACGCCTGAAGATGGTCCAATCCCGCAATTTTGAGAGGTTTTAGCAAACGTTGAGTGTTTATCCCAAAAAATGTATAAGGACATCGTTAACCAAATATAAAACTTATGTTGGATGAAAAATTATGAATATTCTTTAGGATACACATTAATCCAAGCTGATTAGTGAGGTCCTTGGCTGCAAAATTCGACAAAAACATGTAGCATTTACAATTTTGTATCAAAATGCCTTCAACAGCAACAAGAAGTTTGGAATATTTTTATTCTTATTATTAATATGATCTAGATTCTTTAATATTCAATTTCCAGTAGAATTTGACAACTTTTACATTTTGAACCTGTGAATGAAAAAAATACATGCATGGGAAATTGGTCCTACCGTAGCATTTCTCTCAGTGAACCACGAAATTTCATTTTTTTCTGTAAACATGTTATACCATGTGTTAAGTTTTCACATACATTGCTCATCAACTTTCTATTCGCACAATATTTATAGTGGGGTATCATTGGTTTTCTTTTTCTTCTTCGTAGAATAGATCTTCTGAAAGTTTGTGCTTTTGTAACATTCATAGAACCAATGAAATAATGAATTTAATATGCATTTTCCGACACTGTCTCTGTTCTTTGATTTTCGTTTAAATGTTAGAATAATAAAAAAAAACAGTTAAGCGAACTTATGGAGAAAAACGAGTGTATATTCAAATATAATGTTAATCGTCATTTAACTGCTACTGTAAACGATTTATATCCATTTTTCACTTTTGATTATCATATTCGAAGAGTTTAGAACTTGAGTACTAAAAGTTATTAATCTTCTGTATTTCACTAACCAATTTTATTGTACACGACACCAATAAGTTGATCAACTTTTATCATTTTGTTTATATCATGTATATGTGTGGTGTAGGTGTGAGATAAATATTGTAAATGTTTACTCATCGGATCAATGTCCGAACGTAACAAAACATTGATTATAAAAATTATGGTCAAAGTTGAATAAAATACAGAGCTAAAGTCTATGTGCATATGACTCGTGTTATCACTTGAGGTTTGCTTTGGAACATTGAAGATAAATGAATTGAGGTGTCAATAAAAAAAGGCGTAAAAAGGGTAACCAACTAGGAATAACTAAAATCATGTTTTCGTGTCTTTGTTTTACTATTCTTTATGTGCATACCAAAAGCATGCTTATGGGGTCAAGATAGTAATTCATGAAAACCAACATTCTGGTTAAATAATAATTTGGACGGCGTTTAGTTTATTTCTTTACTTTGTTCGTTCAGACTAAAACAGTACGTTAACTCGAGACTTCAATCATCAAACAGGATACATCAACTTAAGTTACAAGTAGTTTTTTTAGAGATTAAATCATGTAATCAAATATTATTTTCTGAAAAATGTATACATATTTTTGCAACACTCTTATAGCTTTTCATTGGTATTGAACAAAAACCTAAATATGCGTTTAAAATATTTGGGCGGCCTTTCATTCTTGTTTGGTTTTTTAAGATCAAGGCAGTGACTCAAAACTTTTTAAATCAAACAGGATCCATCAATTTAAGAGATTATATCAAGTATGTATAAAATAATCATATTCAATCAAAACAAAACAGTGGTTTTTCAGAAGGAATGTTATGTTTTGATCGAATAAAAAAAAAATGTATACATATGTAATATTGTAACATCATATAACAGAATCTACCAATTTAAGAGACAATATTAAATATGTATACATTTGTTTTATATCCAATCAAAACATAGTGGTTTTTCATAAGCAACGTTATAATTTTGATCGAATATGAAAAAAAAGGAAAATTTGTGCAGTATGCCCTTATATTTTTCAATTATGGGTTGTTTGCCTGTGAGAGAGCTTTCATATCTATGTGTAATATTGCAACATCATGTTAGTAAGTGTTTGTTATTGATAACATCGTCTGTCTCGTCATGGGGGTAACGTGACCTCCATGTGATTAAAATGTAAATGCAGTATATGTGTAACTTAAAATCGTTGTTCAACAAAACCGGCAAATTTGGTTCACGACAAAGGCACCATGAATAACTATGAACGAGATCCTTTGCTGATAAACAGTGATGACGAAAATCGATCTACACTTGTTAAAGCTGCATGGAGTTCTGGAAAGACTACACAAGGTCGTTTCTCTGCCAGAACAAGAAATCTTTTAATTGCAGTAATGAATGTTTTCTCAAATGTTCTTATGAACGTGTCACTTCCGGTCTATGCTGGAACTATGGAAGTAATTGGAAGCGATATTTTTGTACTTCTGTTTATTACGTGTTGTTGCATAGCTGTGGTGTTTACTCTTCTGACATTGTTCGTGAAATATTCTAAAATTGACAGTACTGCAACATTGAGACCGACATCTAGCTATAAAATTCTCTTTATGATGGGACTTTTTACAGCTATGAACGGTATTCTTGTGGTATATGCCAGTCCGCCAAACAGAACACCGCCGTATTTGCAGGGTATTTTGCAGTCATCTGTCATACCATTTACCGTGCTACTAAGATTGGTTATACTGCGAAAAGGTAGGTATTGTTGAATAAATAATGTTGTGTTTGATATAGGTTACTGTAGATCTAAGGCTGGTAATACCAAAAACAAGGTAAGTACTGTTACATGGAATATTTAATGTATATATATATGGTTCTGCTATCAGACAGGCATTAGCAAGTAGATGATGATGACGATGATGATGATGATGATGATGACATTGAAAACATTTGCTGGAATAACTATCATGATTTACACCAAATTAAAATATCCAAATATACTTAAAGGATGTTCTCTTCTCTTGTTTTTCAATTTTTGCCAGATATTCGGAATCCTCTGGTTTTATAAATGTAGTGCCATTAAAAAAAATTTGCCTGCTAACCCCTACTTTTCTTCTCATAGTTTTGTTACATATAGTTCAAAAAGCCATATTTGAAAATATCAAAAAATCCTTATTATTTTTTCATAGTTTTAGAAAGAATGTTAAATGCAGAAAAATCTAGAGAGAATGATTTCCCGCCAAATTTTCGATGGCTTATATCTCGAAAACAAGCACACGGACCCTTCATTTTTTCTGCTTTTCTAGTTCCTTTATTTTTATACTATCAGTGTTAAACAGTGTTTTAAAAAGTTTGTTATTTTGAAACAGAGTATAGAACATCCTTAAAAAGTTTCAGCATTAGCTTTTGAATATAATGAGATGTGATATGAATGTCAATGAGACAACTCACGATTATAGAAAAAGGGATATAAACAACTACAGGGTATCGCTGTCAACAAATGTGCAAAGGAGTAGGTCCAGTAAGACCCCTTTTTGGCCCCAAAATATAGCAGTTTTACAAAATTGTTAAAATGTAAACTTTTAGCTATTTATTGGAAAGTAGAATACTTCTGCTACATAAATATGGACAGTTTTTGACAATACAATGCATATATATCGGGTACTAGCATCATTAAGTCATGCTAAATTACTGAAATCTTCACAATTTTAGCATTTGAGTTAAATTTTAGACGGTTTCCGTCTTAAATGGAAGTGGCCGCATTTGTGTTCATTCTTAATATTTAAATGCAAGTTGTATTTGATGATAATACATAACATATATAAAGGTTTAGAGTGAACACGGATGCGGCCACTTTTATTTTTGACAAACACCATCTGAAAAGTGACATATTATGGCATATTTGATAGATTTTTCATATTTAAGCTTGAATCTGAGCGTCTTTAATGATAAAATCAGTTCAAATCTGTCACATAAACTAATTGAATCGACTGAAGTAGACACTTAAGTGTTTAAAAAGTGACCAAAATCTTTCATCAGATGAACCTGAAATTTGAGGCCAAAATCGGCCCGGCCTTACCGGACCGACTCCTTTTAAACATAAAATGTCCATTGATGTATGCGCTTGCTTTATTGCATTCTAGGAATTAGCATTGTTCGTGGTATCTGTACTGGGATAGTACTTGTTGGAATATTCATTACTATAGAACCTCAGATATGGGGTTTGGATGAAGATGCTGGTGAAACGGGAACAAAACCAGAGTCAACCGGAGCAAGAATTCTATGGCCATTTTGTTTCCTGATGGGGTTCCTTCCAGTTGGTTTAATGAATGTTTTCTGTGAAAAAGAGCTTCAAAAAGAAGAGGTAAATACTCCATTTTACTTTATTTATTTTTTTTCATACTGGAACAAAATTTCAAATAGCAAACTTTAATTCTTTTTTTGTTTTTGTTTATTATGTGTTGTGTGACACATAATTGAATTTAAACCACAACAATTGAGAGTGGGAAAACCAAAGTAGCGTAAAATGCTTCTTTTTTCATATGAATGAATATTTCTTAACGCAATCGTACCTTGTGTTTAACATTTCGTATTGTTTTAAATCTGTTCCATAGCAGTGAAATACTTTCTTCTTTTTTAACAGGGTCAATCGTTCAGCTTTATTACGTGGGGACAATATTTCCAGACTGCTATTATGGTTTGTTTCTTCTGGGTAGATTTTGTTCCAGGTTTCGGCAGTGTATGTATATATAAAAATATATATTTATTTAATTTACGAAAAATAATTTTCATCGATCATCGTTGTAAACCTGTGTTTTATCAACTTCACAAATTATACATGATGGTCTTGAAGTATAGATTCTAGGTACTGACGTTGTTTATCATCTCAATTACGTTTTGTAGTGTTCTTTTTATTTGTCTTTGTATGTGTTTAACCTTTACTGCTTAGTCCATTTTGGTGATATACTTTTGGCGTGGCTCGGTATTTATATATCCCGCTAATTTTTGCTTATGTACTTTGTCTATAGAGTATCTATGTGCCATTTTGTATTTCTTTGTTGAAATAAATATTTGTTTTATAGTGATGAAGATTATAACACAATGTTGACTGCTGTATCTCAATTGATTTTTGACAATTTTACCTATTATGTCTGTTTGTTTTGCTCACACATTGTTGTCAGTATAATGGAAATCTATGCGACTGTCATACAAGTGAGAGGTTTAGCTAGCTATAAAACCAGGTTTAATCCACCATTTTCTAGATAAGGAAATGCCTGTACTAAGTCAGGAATATGACAGTTATTCTCCATTCGTTTGATGTGTTTGAGCTTTTGATTTTGCAATTTGATAAAGGACTTTCCGTTTTGAATTTTCCTCGGAGTTCGGTATTTTTTGCTATTTTACTTTATATCAGATACTGATGTATTTCAAATATTTCTTTCGAACTTATCTGACAAGTCATAAATGATCGAAATGTGCATGAATCAACTAACTCACGTATCTTGTAACTAAATATAATTGCGCTGTGAAAACCGTTAAAAACGGCTAGTTAAATGGAATACGTCATTTCAAGCTACATATAATACTTGGTATGTGATATAAAACAGCTACACAACACAGGTTATATAACTATATTCATTTTTTATACCAAAATAATTATCAGATATAACATCCAAGACAGCCATTTCAAACTCTAAAGGACTATGGGTAAATGTGCGCATTTTAAAATATAACCCAGAACCTTTTAGATTTTGAAACGGTGAATAATCAATTGATACGTTTAGATTATAATTCTTTGATTTATAGACATATGAATTTTTTTCTACAAATAGACTCGCAGAGTTAACATTAGTAAATAGAAGAAATATTAAAGTAGATTTTGGAAAATGAAAATGTTATTCAGCCAACGAAATATGATACTGCTGATGACAAATTTTGATACATTAATGTTTCTAAAAAAAAAATGCATGGAGGGATATCTGTATTCAAAATGATTTGATCTGTTTTTGAAAACAATACGTTGCCCTACTTCTGATAAATTTTTGGTTTTGATCAAGAATGTCCTTCTTATTCGTTATATGATGTATACTAGTACTTTAATTATTTTTTTTTTAATTTATGAAAATTATAAAGAACAATGTGAACATAATACAAAACTTAACTATTGTAAAGTCTCAAAAATTATCTTATCTTTGCATCCCAGATTTGTTTCCACCTGCAGTATAAAATTCACACACGTGTTTTTCTGTTGTAGTCCTCATCAGGAAAAGACTTTTTTCATCGATTACAAAGGGGTCTGCACTGCAGTTTCAGTACAGAAAGTTCATGTAACAATCTTGGAGGGAAAGCATGGCTGTTTTATACTGGATATACATTCGGAAACTTATTTCAGTTTCTACTGATTCAGTATGCCGAAGGAGCTGTCTATGCTGTGGTAGTTCAAGCGCTAGTATCACCTATAGCTGCATTATTTTGGAATTTATTCCAATACAATCCCCAAACTGATGTTTTTCAATACAAACCTACAATGAACACAACAACAGCTTTCACATTTGGCGGATTACTACTTATATTTCCGGGAGTTATTCTTTATAACTATTTCAGTGGAAAAGAAGCAAGTGAAAAGGTATTAAACCAAGAACTTGAAGTACATGCTTAAACAGTTTGAATATTAAATCGTTAACATTTTTGTATTATTGGTTATACTTATATGAGGGGCGGGTGGACCCTTTTTCGGACGTCTGCATTCGGCCTTTATTTTTGCGGGAATTGGTATTTATGCTTTGCATGATGTGCTTTCTGTTTTATGTGTTTTATGCCTTGTGTTTATCATATATATGTATGTCGGTTAAAAGTTCTACAGAGCTTATGTTGTATTGTTATATGTATAACCGACTTTAAATAAATCTTTTATGATTATAGGGATTTACACTTACCTGTACTCGAGAATTAATGAGTAATTTTCTTGATCCTGGAAAGAATGCCTTATTTTTTTCCGAAATGCTACTGCCGTTAGAGAGAAAACCAAGGGATAACCATATTTTAACATTTGAATATTTTTTTTATTGCGAAATTATGACATCCTTAGAACTCTCAAATAGTACTTCGATTCAGAAGAACGGTTTTCACAAGTTACAAACCAGTCATCTTTCTTGGTGGGGTGGGGTGGGGGAAAGGACGTTATTGACGAACGCATTTTTAGACTTGAATAAAATATAAACAAACAAGCAAACAATTTATTTTCTATAAAATACAGGAACAAGATTTTTGTTTTTAAACTCAACAAAGAATTTATTCAACCAACTTTTTAAATTGAAATAAATAATGTTTTACTTCCTTTCCGAAACAATTTGTTTTTCTAAATGAATTAGTTATGATAAAAGTTATTTAATATAAGATATTCCCCCGGCCAACAAAATATGAATTTCGTTTAACTGTTATAAAGTTTAACAGAGAAATTTTCAATTCAATGAATTCAATGAACATTTACAGTACACTACATTTAGTTAGCTCGTGTGAACAAATCTCATGAACAGATATTTTAAACCGGTGTACAGATGAGAACAAATTCAATGTTAAAACAGTGTTCATCACATGAAATTAATTGTAGACAGGTTTACAGTACTCGACGTTTGGTATGAAATGATGAAGACGGCCTTAGTAAGTCTTAATTAAAATCGGCATATATCTGCACAATAACCATAAACACAATACAATACAATACAATACAATATTTTTTTTGTCAATCAAGGACGCCCTAAGAGAGCAGTATAATTACAAATAATTTATTACAATGATTATTATTAATTCTTAATGATATATAATGACAAAATATAGAATAGAGAAAAAATAAACACAAAAGAAAAAGCAAAACCCCAGATATGTATATATATTTAACATATAGAAATGTTGAGGCATATATTCAACTGTTTATGGGCATCATTAGTGCCATAAAATTTCATTTTTGGCCTATGAATGATTCACTGGGTCAGTTAACCGGCATCATTTACTTTTTTTAACATAAAAATAAACACATGAACTCTGATGAGCTCTTTTACCGACTATCACCTATAAAACGTGCAGCTTCGTGCATATACAAATAGAATTACATAAAATGTATATTTCATCAAAAAACCCTTACTTTTGATTAGCTAAAGGCATTCGCGAGGCAATCCAATATCAAATTGTATTTCTCAATAAAATTCAACATTCATGACAACACGTGCTTCTTATGACAACGTCACACCAATACTTAGGAAAACGAATGAACAATTTGCCATAACTTTTAATTTCAAGGTTGTAAATAAAATTTTATTATAAGAATTGAATGCTACTTTTTTTTTAAAAATTTTATAGGATTCTAAATGCGTTGATCGTGCACACATTTTAGTTTGAAGCGCGCGCTATATTTAAAATGTGATTCTGTTAACGCTTTTACACCCCCAATCAAATTACAAAAAGAAGCATTAAATTCTTAAATAAAAGGGCATGCAAACATGATGCTCCTAATTACGCACTGTTTCATAACACTTAACTTTCTATATAACATCCATGCCAACATATTTAAATACACATATTTCTACCCAAATTCTAAAATGTTGGTGTAGGATGACTGGAGTAATGGATGTGCGCTCACACGCTACAGAGCTATCATTGCTGAACGATGGGACCAGTTTAAAATTAGCGCTGAGTTCTGTCGGTGGCAATTTTCTTAGATAACACCAAGAGAAATGTAAATTGGAAGATAATCCTTTTAATGACATCGTTTCAAATTTAAAATTAGATTTAAGGTGGTGCTGATGATAAATAAAGTCGTTGAAATGCTACAAAATTAATAAGTTTGATGCATTGTAATTACTTGCTCATTGTTGAATACCTCCTTTTATATAATAATGAAGGGGTAGAATTCTGTTGTTATTAAAGAGACTGTTGCGTTGTAGTACCTTATCGGTTACACGTGTAAATGGATATATAATGTTTAAACCGATGCTGTATTTTTACCACATACAACTTTAATTTCAACCAACAATAAAAAAAAAACGAATTGTCCCCAGAATTCTCAACAATATTTATAAATTTAAGAGGAGGAATCCTAAGATGTCACAACCATCTAAGGTTTCTAATGCCTGAGAAATGTTCACTTGACTTTCAAACAAGCTCTGCACCTCGTAAATCGAGTCAATATAAACAAACTATAACTTTTATAACTTTTTCATATACATTTACTTTCTTGCAATCACGATTCTTCCTTTGATCAATTATGGGAAGGGCATTGGATCCAACCAACTGCAAATTATTTTCGCGAGTCAAGTATATGTTAGTTACCAGCATCCTAATATAAACCCGTTAAATTCGTTATTTTCTCAACTATATTTGATGGCTAATTATTTTGTTGTGTCAAATCATTAAATGACTCGATAATTTTGTCGTTGAAATTTAGGGCTCGTTAAATTACATGGTGTGGGAATTCCGACTTTGTTTAGAATGTACTTGGCTACGGTTAGTTGTTTATTTTTGTCAAGTTGACTTCGATATGGGATGTTGCTACCTTTATATTTATTCATATCATACCTTTTTCATAACTAAATTTTTATGAACTATTGAATTTTCTGAATATTTTGTAATTAATAAAATTGAGAATCTAAATGGGGAATGTGTCAAAGTGACAACAACCCGACCATAGAACAGACAACAGCAGAAGGTCACCAACAGGTCTTCAATGCAGCAAGAAATTCCCGCACCCGGAGGCGTCCTTCAGCTGGCTCCTAAACAAATATATATACTAGTTCAGTGATAATGAACGCCATACTAAACTCCAAATTGTACACAAGAAACTAAAATTAAAAATAATACAAGACTAACAAAGGCAGGAGGCTCCTGACTTGGGACAGGCGCAAACATGCGGCGGGGTTAAACATGTTTATGAGATCTCAACCCTCCCCCTATACATCTAGCCAATGTAGAAAAGTAAACGCATAACAATACGCACATTAAAATTCAGTTCAAGAGAAGTCCGAGTCTGATGTCAGAAGATGTAACCAAAGAAAATAAACAAAATGACAATAATACATAAATAACAACAGACTACTAGCAGTTAACTAACATGCCAGCTCCAGACTTCAATTAAACTGATTGAAAGATTATGTCTTCATCATATGAATATCAGGCACAATCCTTCCCGTTAGGGGTTTAGTATCATACCATCATAACATATATGAGAAGAACATAACCCGTGTCATGCCAACAACTGGTTTTTGAATAAATGTGTTTAGTGCCGATGCAAAGACCCTATAAGTGAATCAATATTAACGCCAAAATATGCAATCTTTAATGACCTGACAACAGTATCGTAACTATATCCCTTCTTAATAAGTCTATTTAAAGGTTTTGTTAGCTTCAGAGGTGAATACTGACATTTTTGTGCTTTATAAAGAATATTTCCATAAAAAATTGGATGTGAAATACCTGAACGTATAAGAAGTCTGCATGTTGAGCTATATTTACGAATGATGTCCTTATACCGATGATAAAATTTAGTAAATGTTTTGACTAGTTTGTGATATCGATAACCCTGGTGTAATAATTTTTCAGTAATACATAAATTTCTCTCGTTAAAATCTAAAACATTGTTACATACACGAGCGAATCGTACAAGTTGAGATATATAAACACCGTAAGATGGTGACAAGGGAACGTCACCATCTAAAAATGGATAATTAACGATAGGAAATGAAAAATCATCTCTTTTATCATATATTTTAGTATTAAGCTTTCCATTAATGATATAGATATCAAGATCGAGGAAAGGGCAGTGGTCATTGTTAGTATTAGCTTTATTTAAAGTAAGTTCAACAGGATAAATTTCTTTAGTATACATACTGAAGTTGTCATTATTGAGAGCCAAAATAGCATCCAAATATCTAAAAGTATTATTAAATTTGTGTATCAGATGTTGTTTCGATGGGTCTTTGTTGATTTTTGTCATAAATTGTAACTCATAGCAATACAAAAAAAGGTCCACAATAAGTGGTGCACAGTTAGTCCCCATTGGAATTCCGATAACCTGACGTTATACGGAATCTCCAAAGCGAACAAAAATGTTATCTAGTAAAAATTCAAGGGCATATATAGTATCAAAGCATGTCCAATTGACATAGTTCTTTTGTTTGTTGTTACTAAAAAATGACCTAAAAGAGTTCGAACATATATATTCACATTCTGACTTTTTAAATGCCCATTTAATTAGGTGTGTGAATTTTTTCTTAATGAGAATGTGAGGCAATGTGGTATATAGGGTAGAAAAATCAAAACTTTGAACAGATTCAAAATCACCAATATATGCATGTAATTTATCAAGTACTTCCAACGAGTTCTTGACACTCCAAAAGTAATGTAATTGAACTGCTTGACCAATCATTTTCAAATTTACAAGACATTCAACTATTCTGTCGAACCTATTGAGATGTAACATTCATGCCAGTTTGATAAGGGGTTCTAAGTGCAATCAGAGCTTAGGTTCATCTCATATATCCACTTCAACTGAAAGGCCAGGTGAGCTTTTCTCATCACTTGGCGTCCGTCGTTGTCGTCTGTTAACTTTTACAAAAATCTTCTACTCTGAAACTACTGGGCCAAATTTAACCAACATTGGCCACAATCATCATTAGGTATCTAGTTTGAAAATGTGTACGATGACCCTACCAGCCAACCAAGATGGCCGACATGGCTAAAGATAGAACTTAGGGGTAAAATGCAAGCTTTGCCTATTTAGAAAACTGCTTTAAAAAGAGAGAATCTGACAAGGGTAAAAATGTTCAGAATGTTGAGCTCTCAAGTCAAAACTGTCAGACAACTTCTTATAGGAGTTATCTCGAAAATTAAATAGATAAAAAGAAACTTTAAATAGCAAAAATGACCAGCAAGACAAGATCTACAAATAAGTCAAACATGGCTGAAATCTTCAGTCGACTCCTTATTAAGTTATTGTCCTATAATGACGATTTTTACCAATTTGTTTACGTTTTTGCCTAATATCTTAAAAACTATATTAGATGGATAGAAACTTTAAAAAACAAAAATGATCAGCAAGATAAGATCTAAAAATAAGTCAACAATGACTGAAATTGTTAGTTGACTCCTTATTGAAGATTGTGCCCTTTAATGACGATTTTCCCATTTTTGTCTAATATCTTGAAAACTGTAATAGATAGAAAGAAACTTTAAATAGCACAAATGATCAGCAAGACACGATCCACAAATAAGCAATAATGCCCGAAATCTTCAGTCGACCTGTTATTGGAGTTATTGCCCTTTAATGTTATTTTTTAACAATTTTTTGGAATGTTTGCCTATTATCTTGTTAACTATAATAGATAAATAGAAACTTTAAAAAGGAAATTTCTCAGCAGGATAAGATCTACAAATATGTCAACATGACTGAAATTGTCAGATAACTCTTAATAGAGTTATTCTCCTTTAATGACGATTTTTACAAAAAATGGCCATTGTTGAAGATGCAGGTGAGCGACACAGGCTCTTTAGAGTCTCTAGTTTTACAAAGTGTCATTAATTAATCCAGCCCTAAACAAGACATTTGTATCTACGATAGCCGGCCATTCTTTTTTATGAAACATTTTGTTGAATCATTTCGTTCAATCTAAAATTAACATGAAAATATTTTGCAGTTGTAAAAGATTCATAATAATAAGATAAAATCCCATATGTTTTCATTAAATAAAAAGTCTAGACCGATCATGTTTTACAAATGCAAGATGGCGCACGACTCCCTAACTACTTTAATGGAAAAAGTCGATTGCAATGCTCTAAGAGGATTTGGCGGAAAATTACACCAGACTAAATTAATCATGCAACGTAAGATTTATCAAAATTATTCAAACAGTTCAGACCCGGTTGCATTTAAACTGGTTGTGACCAGTTTGATAAATTTTGATACCCCAAATGTCGATTAAATTGGTCACGTGTAATTTCCCGCCTTATCTAATCAGAAAATTAAACTTAGGAAATAATTCATGGGGCTTGAATTAATTGAGATTTTGACCCTTTATGCTAAATATTTTACCTCGAGCGATAGCAAGGGGTAAAATATCAGCATAAAGGGCCAACCCGTGGTAAAATCAATATAAATTCAAGTCCCCATGAATTATTTCTATTTCTAATAGGACAAAGATAGCAATTCTTTTGTTTCGAAGCGCTCTAGGTGAAGGGAAATGTTTGGTCTTCCCGTAATTGAACACACTATTAATATTGACGTAAAATACGTAGAAAACTGAATAAGTGACATGCTTAAATGATTTACAATAACATACTAAGACAGGTTTGGACGATTATCTTACTTTTATTTAAGAAAATGGGCTTTCAAAAAATTCTTATCATCGTTTGTTTATGTTTTCATGTTTTGACGACTTTCAGTTCCAAATTCTTGCATTTTCCCGTAGAATGATTATATTGTTACGTCATCGTTCAATGACGTCATTTACACCGTCTGACCTCGGTAACTCATTCATAAAAAAAACAAAGAACGTGGGAGTAAGATTGGAACAGCCCAAACAATCCATGACGTTGACATATCAATATATTCATATTTTACCACGGGTGTGTACACAAAGCGTTTGAAGAACGTCATATAAGAATTGGAATTTGACTACATTTATTCACTCTCGATGAATAAATTTTAAATGTTATAATGCTTGGGTTTACGATTTGGATTGAAAAACACAATAAAAGCAATTATATCATTCTTTACTAAAATAAATAAAATAATAAATAACAAACATGAATTTCTTTCAAAAATAAATATCAAGCTTTCTGAAAAACTTAAAAACATTTAATTTAAACACATTTACACAATTTTGTTCATACAAACAACAAACATTAAACTCATACTCGCTTGAACAATGTACTAAATTAGATATCACAATAATCATTCTTCGTTTTTTTTCGCAACTATTAAAGTTTCCTTAATTGTGATGATTTTCAAATATAACTCGTCTGTTTCTCTCCTTTATTTCTTCCATTTCTGTGACTATACATTTGATCTGAAAAAAGTAAATAGATTCAAGTTTTTTTTTTAATATCCACAATTAATTTAGACAATTTCCTATTTTATATGGTGCCGTTGCATTGTAGATCTATCAATCGACTATTTAACACAAATAAGGCTTCAAGTATTCTCCTGACCGAGGTAAGCTTGAAACAGGAGGCTGGACTGAATTTTAGAAACCTAGCATTTAAAAATTGCTGTATAAAAAAATATTTTCACTAGCTGATTTCGATCCACTTGCATGCCAAAAATATAACTTGCATAGTACACTTTCGCTTCATATTATTCACTTACTTTCTCTTTTAAATAATCTAATCTTTCACTTGTTTCCCTTTTGAGTCCAAAACCAAATGAAATATCTGCCTGGTTGCCTTAAAATAAAGGTTCTTGTATATTAAAAAAGGTATACATGCATATTATAAATTAAATACGATGACGCAACCCTATGATCGCTTCTCTCGAAACAGGCCTACGAGTTCGTCCCATTACTTGCAATAAGCAGTCCAGAAGTGATTCACTCCTGGCACACTTAATGAGTTTATTCGTTTATGTGTGAATACACTTAATAACATTGACGATACCAATTTTTCTGCACCAGATACACTCAAGTTGACATTAACTAGTTCGCTGATACAAATCTATTTTAGTACGAAATATCGTTTAAAAACATTAAAACTGTAGAAAATCTGAGATATTAGTGTTTACAATTTATATTTGTTTATAGTTCAAGATTTGTCTTTCACGACATGCAGGGTGGGGGGACGACAATATTCAGATGAATACGGATTAAGTTTTTAGGAGGAATCATAATGCGGTCGGAATGTACTGAAAGACCATTACATACTCCAGGAGACCATTTGATATGTTGATATATTTTTTTAGACTATTTGTTCACCTTAAGTTTGGTTGAATTGTTAACCTATTTGGACACTTGGCTATTTTTGAAGACTATTTGTTTACCTTAAGTTTGATTTAATTGTTTTGTGAGATTGCTGTCTTGTTAACCTATACCCTACATATTTCCATTATCGCACAAAATACTTAATCAGCAGCTACTTGTATATATTTACTCACCACAAGGATATGATGTCGTCTGTACTGTCACATAGATTGTCAAAAATATAACCACAAAATTTAGAATTTCCATTTGCTTTTCTTTCCCAGCAGGTGATATGTACTGATTCTTAAATTTCTTCTTTCAGATATTATTTTTCAAACAGCACTTTAAAATTCCTTAAAACAAGTTAAAACTATAGGCTATCAGATATATATTTGCTGGTGGACTATCAGTTCCCGCGGGTATCATTAGCTCGGTACTCAGTACTTTGGTAGTGACATGATTTATAACAAACCTTGCTAAAATTGCCGTTCATAAAGTTTGAAAATTACAAAGAAACTAAGGTTTCAACTCCCTCAGGCAAAGTTGACTTTAGATGGATTTGGCAATTTATTTTAGGTTCTTTTTGGTCATATAGCTCTTCAACTGTTTCTGAGTTCTTAAACATCCTTGGCTTTCAAATATTCGGCTTTGAGCGTTCCTAATGAAGGTAAATCTAGAAAAGCTCTTCGGACGCATGAAATTTATAACGTGATGTTTTTATTTTCTACAAATATCAAATTATGTGTTTGTATGCCCAGCTTCATAACCACAAAAACGATTTTCATGCAGTTCATATTGCCCAATGGAAATATTCTTGTTCAAACAGCACTTTAATCAAGGACCAATCTTCACTTTTAAGTGAAGCCGTCATTTACACGTTCGTCTTATGTTTTTTCCTTCAATTTGTAGGGCGTAACTGCCAAGTTGGTTAAAGTGTTGCAAAGAAAATATGTCAACCGTATATTCCAAACCTGACGTTGTTAACTTTCCAACTGACCTTTATAGTTTGTTCTCGTGTTGTAATGGTGATGGTGCAGCTCTGTCCCAAGTGTGGAAAGACACGTTTTGACGTGGCTGTCCCGGGCCAGGAGCTTGTAGTCCTGTGATTGTCGCTGGTTGCTGCCTGCCATGTTTATTTTTATTGTTGTGGTATATGTAATGCCGTTGTTTTTCTCTTGTAATTGGCTTAATTTTGTGGTCCTTGGTGTGAAATTTGCCTTGTTGCATTTATGTCATTTGGACTTTGATTGATAATTTTCTCGATGGAAATCATACCATATATCCTTACCTTTATATCTTTAAATTGGAGCAATTGAAATGATATTCATTGTACTTTAGCTACGTTTGATTGATAAGTTTCACGAATAATTGCCTTTTTTCTAAACTACCAAATTTTAAACTGCTGACGGGAATGTTTAGATGTCGACTGCGCTTCCCAGTAGTCTTATATTTGAAGATAATTAAATCGCGATAGCAAAGGGTGCGTAACCCGTTATGATAGTCAGATAATACAGTAATGGTGTTTTCCAAATGATTGTTTTTGTTATGACTTTCAAATAGTCATAGCATAAGTAATACTTTAATTTTCAAAAGTCAATGTAACATTTTCGAACTCGAATCGCAATAGTGGTAATTTAATGCGCATTTGAAGTACGTGTATAATCAACGAGCACCTGCATTAAGCAGAATCAAAGTGAATGAGAAAACGATAAGAACTTCTTACCACATGTTATAAGTCCTTTTATTGATATCTTTGGTCTTGTGAAAAATTTATCTTGATTTCTTTTTATCAAACATAAAATACGTATCTATCAATAGCAATATACATTTAAGACTTCAATGATTGTTTATCGGAAGTGATTTTGACCCACTAGATCCCCACTAACCCCAAACCCGTGTTAATATACTAAATATATATGCGATTGGCTAGTTAAAAAAATGTTTGAATGCTGTATTGTGAAGCAATTTTTGACATTTTCGGCAAAGCTTTCTTGTCCCATAAAGAAAAAACCCGAAAACACAGCTGCTCTTTGCGAGGTAATCTCTTAAAGCCAAAATATATATATAGACAAAAGTAAAGCTTTTTACCTGAAACCGTTGGCGAAATGTTAAATGTTTGTCGAAGTTTTCAATTTCAAACTTTATTTATATACATCGTGTAGTTAATTTTTGGGAAAAGTTGATTTCCTCGCCTTAATTTTATATCAATTGGATTATTATAGCTAATCATAATAAACAAGAATTCTTTATAAGACAAGTGACGTAGCAGGATATGAATCTAGACGTACATGTATAAGTGTATATAGCCTATGTAACTACCGGACAAATATATAAACGAATAATATGCCTTACTTATCTATGACCGATTATAGTGCGCATTAAATATTATCAGCCCCAAATGTGTCCGTTTTTGAACAATTATGCATTGTTCTTCATTTAATATTAACACAGAAGTCAACATATAAAGTAAATATTTATCAAAAAGTTTGGGAATGGCAAATGTTCATATGGATTGAAGATTAAAGTCACTGTTTTTAGTTTGTAGGCGCATTAATCACTTGATGTCACATCTGATAGGACGACACCATATGCTATTAGGGATGTGGTTAAGTTTCCTCCTTGAATGTGAAATTAACGAAAATGTTAGGGTAATATTTTTGAAAATATGTTTACCTACTTGAGGAATAACAGTACTGTAATTGAAGAGTTGCCATCGTCAATTGGGATTTGACGGTCGCAAATGCAGTTTTACTGGCAACGCGTAGCAAGTAACGCTTTATAATTTGCGATAAACAATCACTGAAATCTTAAACGTATTTTGCTATTGTTAGATACGTATCTTATGTATATGAAGAAAACAATATCACGATAGATTTTTCACAAGACCAAAGATAACAATAAAAGGAAATAATCCCGTAAATGTCGACTGCAATTGCGCAACGTTGTTGCCAATGACTCCGACCGTCAAACGTGGAATTGATGGTAGTCGTAATCCTATCAAAATTGTCGTCACATACCTTGTATCATTATAATTATTATTAAAATAAAGTACAAAGTTTAAGAGCATTGAGGACCCAATATTCTGAAAGGTTTTGCCAAATACAGGTATTGTAAACTACTATTCAACGCCTAGATAGGCACCAGAACTCAAAATTAGTAGAGGAACACCACAGTAGGTGCATAATTTGGATTTAAACTGTTCATGAATGTTTATATTTTTTGTATGGCTTTATTATGTCCAACTGTGGTAATTATATTATATTTCAGATTGGCAAAACGAGTTGCTTTCTTTAGAAAAAGAAAAGCAATTCGTGAACCCTAGACCGCAGACTGGTCACCAAAAAACTTCGTTGCCGAATTTGTTTGCCTTTGATTTGAAATAATTGACTAGCTGTGGGTAGAATAAGGCGATGATGATGTTAAAACACCTTTTTTGAAAATATGTAATTGTGTTTAGATTCTTGCAAAAGTCAATAAAAAACAATGCTGGATTTTAGCAGTAAATAGAAAAGTGTATACAGCTACCATTTGAATTTATCTTTTAAGGCTTGACCATTTTATTTATTACTTGGGTGTGTACATCATTTTTTCTTCGTGTTTAATATACAAAGTCCTAATCCTATTGCAATACCCAGTTTATGCAAACCGGATGTCTATAGCAAATCGCTGTGTAAATTTCAGCACTCAGTTTGCTTTATAATCTGGATGTATTTATTTTATCTTTCATATCTTCATATTTGCTTTCTTGATGCCTTCAATTATTCTTATACTCATTATTGAAGCTGTCTGTACTCATGATAGAGGTGATATAGAGAAATTGAAAGTCCAATTTCCATGTGAAGTGTAATTCTGTGTCATACAACTTATACGAATGTTGCGTATTTTGTTCTTGAGAGTAACACACCAGCTTGATTAGTACATTTTATATACTGACAATTATTTTGGTTAAATAAACATCTCAAATTTAAAGGATTTCCCGAGGTTACTTAAATCGATCCAAATATTTTACAGGAAAAACTTTGTTTTGAAGAATATCTTGTTTTCAGAAGTTTTATGAATACCTGGACATGCTCTCAATGGAACCAATTTATATAAAAAGATGCGTTTGGTAAAGTCAATAAACTAATCATTGATACCAGGATTAAAATTTTGTATACCAGACTCGCGTTTTGTTTACAGAAGACTCACAGTGACGCCTGAATCGAAAAAGGTTAAAAAAAAAAGTCAAATAAAGAACGAAGTTGAAGAGCATTGAGGACTCAAAATTCCGAAAGGTTTTGCCAATTGCAGCTAAGGTAATCTATTCCTGTGGGTAAAAAATCCTTAGTATTTCGAAAATTTATAAGTTTATAGTAAGAAAGTCACTTAGAAAAAGAAAGAAAACGAAATGAGGTCAGAATACCTTAAAGATGACCATTCGTCAAAGTTACATGTCAAGCTCCTACTGCCGTATCCTGAATTTAGTTAAGAAATACGAAAATTCACATTCCGTGCGTGAAATTAATATGTATGCATGCACGTGGTATTCTTGCGCAAGAACTAGTATTGATTGATTGATTGACTGTTGGTTGCTAAACGTTCAGTGGCAAATATTCATGTATGATCAGGACGAGAACAAATTAACAATAAATACAACAGGTATGTTCTGTCATAGAAGCCGTTTGGAAGGTTGAGGAAATTGTGGACTGCCACTGGAAAATGGCAATTACGCAAGAACACATTTATCGTTTTAGAAGACCCCATAAATTTAAAAGTATCATTTATCAACACCTTAAAAAGCACAATCATCCTATTAATTCAATCTTTAGAAGTAACAAATAAGCAACCTCATGAATCTCATTAAAAATTTGTACGATAACGGAAAATAATTGAACTAAATTGGATTAAAAAAATACAGACAGTCTATCCTCTCGGTCTTAATGATAATATCACGGGAATAGGTAATACATCAAGAACCGATTCTTTTGACATTTTGGATATAGTTTCTAAAACTATTCGTAAAAACCATTCTCATGGACGGAGAATAAATCGCGATCATAGAAAGTTTCGTACAATACAAATATTTCAGACCTAATTGCTATTAAAAAAAACAACTGCAGACATTGTCTGTTGATTAAGCTCTGTTCTGTACCTGTTAATAAATTACATCAAATTCTAACATTTTAAACTGCCTCCCAAAATTGATCGCCCTGAAGATCATAAAAAAACATTTCATTAAAATCAAATACGTCAATAAAGGTTTTGATTTTGTAATTATTGCTGGTCTTCTAAATGATCTTTCTATAAAAGAACAAATTCCTGGTTATTTTGATAATACTGAGATCCCTCTTATTTGTTAGTATACAAAAAATGTACACGGAAATATGTGTTTACTATAGCGAGGTGTGAAAAGATGTTAATATCAGTGACAATACACCTACGTCGTGCAATTGCAATAATTGCAGATACATTTATGGCCCCAGTTCCCATGTTATAACGAGAGACCTTAATATCGTCCAGGACCGAGAGTTGAAATCATTTTTTAGTATAGAAAACCTTAATATCGTCCCCCGTCAATTATTAATTGGAATGAGTGTCGTAAAATCATCCACGACTCGCTCCGTACTTGCTGTATACAATTGATAAAGAGAGAAAAAGCTGACAAAAAATCCTTTGATTCTTTTTTTTTAGTACAGTAATGAACATAGTTGATATTCGTATCAAACATTTTACTCCTAAAGCCAACCATGAAAGTCATATTTCTCGTATCAAACATAAGCTAAAAGAACTCGGCAAAGGATTTGTTTTGGTCCTGGCCGATAAGGCAGCCAATTATATCATTATTGGTTGACGTAAATTTTATATTGAGGCTCTTCAACGGGAAATCACGAATTCACCAACACTCCAACTGACTCAATTTTTGGGAAATGACATATGTGACAAACATAAACTTTTAGCTACCTCTTTACAAGCAGAACCGAATAACATGCAAGTTCCAACGATGTACTGGCTTCCGAAGCTGCACAAAACACCTTTACAAATATAGATTTAATTCGTCTCCAAGCCATTGTTCCGCTACTAAACTGTCTATTCTACTTACTAGTTCACTTGTTACAATCAAAAACCTGGTGATAAATTGTTCAAATAAGGCCTTTGAAAATAGTGGAATTAATTCATTTTTGAATGTCAAAAATTCGTTGGAAGTACTTGATAAACTGCATGCTCATATTGGTGATTTCGAATTTGTTCGCAGTTCTGATTTTTGTCGAGCCTTCGACTTTAGTCGAAAAAGCGAGACATAGCGATCCTACATTCCGTCGGCGTCGGCGTCGGCGTCGTCGTCGTCGTCGTCGTCGTTGTCGTCGGCGGCGTCCACAAATATTCACTCTGTGGTTAAAGTTTTTGAAATTTTAACAACTTTCTTAAACTATCCTTGATTTCTACCAAACTTGGACAGAAGCTTGTTTATGATCATAAGATAGTATCCAGAAGTAAATTTTGTAAAAATAAAATTCCGTTTTTTCCGTATTTTACTTATAAATGGACTTAGTTTTTCTGCCGAGAAATATTACATTCACTCTGTGGTTAAAGTTTTTAAAATTTTAATAACTTTCTTAAACTATCCTGGGTTTGTACCAAACTTGGACAGAAGCTTGTTTGTGATCATAAGATAGTATCCAGAAGTAAATTTTGTAAAAAAATAAATCCATTTTTTCCTTATTTTACTTTTAAATGGACTAAGATTTTCTGCCAGGAAACAACACATTCAATCTGTGGTTAAAGATTTTAAAATTTTAATAACTCTCTTATACTATTTTGGATTTGTACCAAACTTGGACAGAAGCTTGTTTATGATCAAAAGCCAGTATCTAGAAGGAAATTTTGTAAAAAAAATAAATCCATTTTTTCCATTTTTTACTTTTAAATGGACTTAGATTTTCTGCCGGGAAACAACACATTCACTCTGTGGTTTTTAAAATTTTAATAACTTTCTTATACTATTTTGGATTTGTACCAGACTTGGACAGAAGCTTGTTTATGATCAAATGCTAGTATCTAGAAGGAAATTTTGTTTTCTTCCAGTTAACATTACATTCAGTCTGCAGTTAAAGTTTTTAAACATTTATTAGATT